ATCTCTGATGGTAGTTTGTATTTCTGTGGAATCAGTGGTGATATCCCGTTTATCATTTTTTATTGCATCTATTCAATTCTCCTTTTTCTTTTTTATTAGTCTGGCTAGTAGTCTATTCATTTTGTTGATCTTTTAAAAAAAACAGCTCCTGTATTATTTTTTTGAAGGGTTTTTTATGTCTCCATCTCCTTCAGTTCTGCTCTGATCTTACGTATTTCTTGTCTTCTGCTAGCTTTTGCATTCGTTTGATCTTGCTCCTCTATTTCTTTTATTTGTGACATTAGGGTGTTGATTTTAGATCTTTTCTCTCTTCTCATGTGGGCATTTAGTGCTTTAAATTCTGCTCAGTCTATTTGGCTATTGAAACTTGTGTATGCTTCATGAAGTTCTCATGCTGTGTTTTTCAGTGCCATCAAGTTGTTTATGGTCTTCTCTAAGCTGGTTATTCTAGTTAGCATTTCATCTAAACTTTTTTCAAGGTTCTTAGTTTCTTTGCATTGGGTTAGAACATGTTCCTTTAGCTCAGAGAAGTTTTTTATTACCCACCTTCTGAAGCTTGCTTCTGTCAATTCATCAAACTAATTCTCCATCCGGTTTTGTTTCCTTGCTGGTGAGGAGTTGTGATTCCTTGGAGGAGGAGAGCCATTCTAGTTTTTGGTAATTTCAGCCTTTTTGTGCTGGTTTCTTTCCATCTTCATGGATTTATCTACCTTTGGTCTTTGAAGTTGGTGACTTTCGGATGGGGTCTCTGGGTGGACCTCCTTTCTGTTGATGCTGAAGCGATTTCTTTCCGTTTTTTCTTTTTTTTTTTGGGTTTTCCTTTGAAGAGTCAGGCCCCTCTGCTGCAGGACTGCTGGAAGTCCACTTCAGACCCTTCTTGCCTGGGAATCACCCGTGGGGACTGCAGAACAGCAAGGATTGCTGCCTACTCCTTTCTCTAGTAGCTTTGTCCCAGAAGGGTACCCGCCAGATGTCAGCCAGAGCTCTCCTGTGTGAGGTGTCTCTTTGGATATACAGGGGTCAGAGAACCACTTGAGGAGGCGATTTGTCCCTTCTCAGAGCTCAAATGCTTTGTTGGGAGCTCCGCTGCTCCCTTCAGAGCTGCTGGGCAGGGATGTTTAAGTCTGCTGCAGCAGAACTCAAAACCGCCCCCTTTCCCAGGTGCACTGTCCTGGTAAGATGGGGCTTTATTTGTAAGTCCCTGATGGGCTGCTATCTTTTTTCAGAGATGCCCTACCCAGCTAGGAGGGAGTCTAGTCACAGTCTGCCTGCAGAGGCATTGCTGAGATGCCACAGACTCCACCCAGCTGCTGTGTAAACTTCCTTGAGATTTTGTTTACACAGGTAATGGCGGACTGCCTCGGTAATGGCAGATACCCCTCTCCCCACCAAGCTTGACTATCCCAAGTCGAGCTCAAACTACTGTGTTGGCTGTGAAAATCTCAAACCAGTAGCTGTCAGTTTGCTGGTCTTTGTGTGGGTGGGACCCACCGAGCCAGATCACTTGGTTCCCTGCCTTCAGCGGCCTATATTTCAGGGTAATGGATGGCTCTGTCTCACAGGTATTCTGGGCACTGGCTAAAATGGCAGCCCAGTTTTGTGCTGGAAACCCACAGCACTTGTTGGCCCTGGTGGGAATCTCCTGGTCTGTGGCCTGTAAAGACTATGCAAGAAGTGCAGTATCTGAGCCAGTGTGCCACAGCATCCAGGAAAGTCCCCAATGGCCTCCACTGGGTAGGAGAAAGGGTCCTCCGGCCCAGTGCACTTCCTGGGTGAGGCAGCACCCCACCCTGCCTCAGTTTGCTCTCCTTGGGCTACACCCACTGTCCAACCAGTCCCATTGAGATGAACCTGGTACCTTGGTTGCAAATATGGAGATCACTCGCCTTCTGCATTGCTCTCACTGGTAACTGTGCTCTGGAGCTGTTCCTATTCAGTCATCTTGGTGGAAGTCCAAGAGTGTTTAAAATCATGAATGGGTGTGGGATTTTGCAGATGCTTTTTCTGCCTCAATTGATATCATTATGTCTTGGTGGATTGATCTTTTTATTATATGATATCCCCCTTCATTTCCAGTAATTCACTTTGCTCTGAAGTCTATTTTACCTAATATTAATATAGTCACTCCCAGTTTTTAAAAAATTAATGTTTGCATTGCATATGTTTTTCCATCCTTTTAGTTTCTATCTACATACGTGGTCCTATGTGAAGTGAGTTTCTTGTATATGGCACATGGTTTGATTATTTTTTATCCACTCTGTTAATCTCTATCTTTTAATTGGCCCAGGAATGAGTATTTAAATTTTTTCACTACTTATTAATTTTTAAAAAAATTAACAGACTTTTTTTAAAGGGAAGTTTTAGGACCACATTGAAATTGAGAGGAAGGTATATATCGCATATACTCCTGGGCCCAACACATGCAAGATTCTTCTCCCCATTATCAACATTCCCCATAGGAGTGGTACATTTGTTACAATTGAACCTGCAATGACACATCATTATTTTCCACAGTCCATAGTTTCCATTAGGATTTGCTCTTGGTGTTGTACATTCAATAAGTTTGGACAAAGGTATAATGACATGTACCCACCATTACAGTATCATACAGAGTAGTTTCACTGCTCTAAAAATCCTCCATGCTCCACCTATTCATCCCTCTCTTCTCTATAACCTCTGGCAACCACTGATCTTTTTATTGTCTCCATAGTTTTGCCCTATTCATAATATCATATAGTGGGAATCAGACAGTGTATAGCCTTTATAGACTGGCTTCCTTCATTTAGTAATATGAATTAAAGTTTCCTCTATGTCTTTTCATGGCTTCATAGTCCATTTCACTTTACTGCTGAATAATATTCCACTGACTACCTGTACACAGTTTATTAATCCGTTTACTTAGTGAAGGACACTTTGCTTCCAAGTTTTAACAATTATAAATAAAGGTGCTTAACAAGCAATCATGCACACTTTTGCAACAAGAAAAAACAGAAAGTCCCAGTACACACACAAAAAGGATATTTAAAGAAGAAACAAATGGAAATCTTAGAAGTGGAAAATATGATAACCAAGGAAAAAATTCTCACTGAATGGGTTCAATAGCAGAATGGGGACAAACAATGAGTTAGTGAACTCAAAGGTAGATAAATAGAAATTGTTCTATCTGGCCAAGAGCAGTGACTTACACAGTAATCCTAGCACTTTTGTGGGCTGAAGTAAGATGATAGATGACTGCAGGTTAGCAGTTTGAGACCACCCTCAGCAACAGTGAGACCTCATCTCTAAAAAAAAAATTAAAAATAGCTGAGTGTGATGATATGTACCTGTAGTCAGCTACTGTGAAGGCTGAGGCAAGAAGACCCCTTAAGCCCAGGAGTTCAAGGCTGCAGTAAGCTATAATTGCACCACTGCAGTCCAGCCTGGGCAACAGAGTAAGATCATGTGTCTAAAACAAAACAAAAAGAAATTGTTCAATATGAACAAGTCCGAGAAAGAAACTGAAAGAAAGATGAATACAACCTCATGGACCTGTAAGAAAATACTAAGACATCTATCATTTGTACTATCAGAATCTCAGAAGGAGAAGTGAAAATGTTAGGGAAACAGGAGCCTAGGACAGCCAGAGTGACACCATTTGAAAATCAGCTCCATCATGAAACTAGCAAGGCACATTACTTGCCAGTCACAACCCATGGTCCTAAGATCTCTGCAGTTGAGAAAACAGACTAAAGGTACCTATAAGGACATGCTCCCACAGCAGCAGAAAGTACAGGGGCCCCAAAACCCATAACAATATATGCTTTCACAATACTTATAGTTATGCTTTGATGTACTTACACACTAGAAAGTCAAGGATAGTTTTCTTTTAATCAATAGAATGATAAATTTCATCATGCTGTTAGTCTACCTGCACAAACGTACATGTAAGTTGGGTCTTTACATAGGCAAGACCCCTATATAAGAAAAACGTGGCTAGGCCAAGGCTCATGCCTGTAATCCTAGCACTTTGGGAGGCTGAGGTGAGCAGATCGCCTGAGCTCAGAAGTTCAAGAGCAGCCTGCACAACATGACAAAATCTCATCTCTACAAAACAACAGAAAAACTGGCTGGACATGGTGGCATATGCCTATAGTTGTAGCTATTCAGGAAGCTGAGGTGGGAGGATTGCTTGTACCCAGGAGGCTGAGGCTGAAGTGAGCTATGATAACACTACGACACTAGCCTTGGTGACAGAGTGGCACCTTGTCTCAATTTTTAAAAATTTAAAACGAAAAAGTACAAATTTATCAGTCTAATTCACTACAGTAACAGATTAAAGGAAAAAATGTGATAATCCCATTAGATGCAGTGTTTGATGAAATTCCATATATATTCAAAATGAATACTCTGAGCAAATTAAAACAGAATAGAATGACTCTGTTGAAGTTAATTTACAAAAAAAATACAGTAAATACTATGGTGAAAGGTGGAAATTTTTCCATTTCTGATCAGGGATAAGACAAGGATGTCCACTATCACCACTGTACCAGGTGGGTCTGCCCAATGCCATAAAATCAGAAAAGGAAATAAAAGTGTTCAATATGGCAGCAACAGGCTGGGCATGGTGGCTCACACCTATAATCCCAGCACTTTGGGAGGCCGAGGTGAGCGGATCACTTGAGCTCAGGAGTTCAAGAACAAACTGGGCAAAATGGCAAAACCCCATGTCTACAAAAAACTACAAAAGAAAACAGAAAAAAAGTGACAGAAACAAAACTTCTTATTCAAAGATGATATGATTCTGTATGTTGAAAACTGAAAAGGATCTAGAAGTAAACTTAGAATTCATAAGCTTATTTAACAGGCTGCTGGATAGAAGCTCAATATGTAGGAATTATGCCTCTATATACCAGCTCAAAAAGCTAGCATATGAAATGTCAAAGAATGATACGTATTTCAGAGCATCAAATACCTGGAAATAAAATTAACAAAAGATGTGCAAGACTTCTTTGCAGAAGGCTGTAACGCTTTATTGGGAGAACTTCAATTAACAAATTTCCAACATAGAAGCAGAATGCATCATTTCAGCATGTCTCCTTTTAATGCTGTGATTGCCCTTCACCTGTAACAGAAACATAACAGTTAGAAACATGACTTAGCAGCAGATTATTTAGATGACCCTAAATGCACACAAAGAACACTACAGTTTGGGTTTTATAAGATGGACTAAAAATAGAACCCTAAGGATGATCCTGTGTCTTACATCCAAGTAAACCTCTCTATAGACTTTGAGAGCAGACCTACAGAATTTAAAAGTAATTAATTCTGTAAACATCAAGTGCTTCCTTTAAATCCAGAAGCGCTTATAATTAACAGTCAGCAACCTGGAAAACAGTTGTGTTAAACATACTCCAGCGGATTACTCAGGAAGTACTGGGGTCATGGTCTTCGAACTTCAAAACTTACCAACTAATGCCTCAAAAGCTGAAATTTACATGAAACATTTGATATGCTTAGAGGTGACTGTATCATATATGTGATATAATCTTATTAGAAATAGTGGTTCATGAAGGCTCACAGTGCGGCAGGGAGCATGTTTTGCAAAAGCATCTTACTTACACCCATCCTGAGCATCAAAGACCTACACCCCACAGAAAACAGGAACTAAATGGTCTCTCACCATTTGATTATTCAGTCACTCAAGGTTTCCTTGGGGAAAGATTTAAAAAGCAAGTACTGATTAAGAGCGAGAGAATCCCAGCCTGGAAAACATAGTGAGACCTCATCTTTGCAATTTTTTTTTAAAACATCAATCAGGCATGGCGGCTTGTGCCTATAGTTCCTTAGGAGGCCGGGTGAGAGGATCGCTTGAGCCTGGGAGGCTGAAGTTGCGATGAGCTGAAATTGCACCACAGCACTCCAGTCTGGGTGACAGAGTGAGACTCATCTAAAGAAAAAAAAAAGCCAGAGAATTTAGAATTTGACAGAACCTAAGAATAGGCATTCAGGTCTCCACACAGAAAAACAAACACGAAGCAGAGTGTCCACTCATTTTCTTAGTAGCAATGAAATCTCAATTCAGAGGTTTTCAAATGACTCGGGTCTGGATTTGATGATTTATGTTAAACAAATCAAGCAAAACAGACAACCTCTGTATCCTATGCATTCTATCTAACAGGATCAGATTATGAAAGAACCAGAATGGAAAATGATTTAAAAATATCTGACTTAAACTCACTATTTTTATAAGACCAAAGATAGGTTTAGAAGGTAAGGGATTCTCTAAGAATCTCACAAATGCTTTAAGAGCTGGTAATAGAACCTGCATCCGTGCTTCAGCATGTTTCACACTAACTGATGGGTGTTACAAATGTGGTACGTATTTGTTAAAAGCAGACCTTTACAAAAGCATCTGAAAATCATGAACTATTATTGGTTTAAGGACTTACACTCAAAAGTTACAATTCAATATGCCTTTGACTCCGTTTGTTTCTGTATCTGAAAGTCTGTAAGTCAGATTCTGGGGTCTTGACTATGTTTCAAATAATATTTGTATAAGAACTCTATTATTAAAGAGGCAGTGTTGTTACCTCTGTGTTATTAAAAACATAATACTGGGCTGGGCGCACTGGCTCATGCCTGTAATCCCGGCACTTTGGGAGGCTGAAGCAGGTGGATCACCTAAGGTCAGGAGTACGAGACCAGGTTATGCAACATGGCGAAATCTCGTCTCTACTAAAAATACAAAAATTAACCGGGCATGGTTGCGAACATCTGTAATCTCAGCTACTCAGGAGGCTGAGGCAGGGGAATCACTTGAACCCAGGAAGCAGAAGTTCCAGTGAGCCAAGATTGCGCCACGTACACGTGCATGCCCTCACCCACAAGCACGCGCGCGCGCGCGCACACGCACACACACACACACACACGATACTGTGGAAACAGACATCCTGCATGCTTAATGGATTAACTACCTTCTTCTGGCAGTTTCACCTGCTATGGATTTTGCAGGCGGATCTTCTTAACAGCAGGACCATCTCCAGGCTCACACCCAGGCATCGGCTGAACCTGTTCCTGGCTATTGGCTTCAGGCTCCAGCCCTTAAAACAATGATCATTTTAAACAGTAAAACACGAAATATGAATAAGGAAATAATAGTCATGTTCTCCGTGTTATTAAATAAAAGCTTTCAGTAGTGTAGTAATAAATGTGTTGATAAGAATCTCAGGAACATTATTTCAGGAGTCTGTTAGCAGAAAACAGGAAAACAGGGTTTTCCAAATATTACCCTCTTCCTTTCCGAAGTCTGCCCTCACACAACTTTGTTGCCTCCTTTGCACTTCTCTGTTATTGCACTTCTGATTTTCCTTATCATATTAAATGACTCAAGGCTGAAATCCTGTCTCTCATAGCACTTTCACTCCTAGCACTTGACTGCTATGTGGCATGAGTAGCCACCAATAAATGCTGAGTGAAAAAAGTCTTTAAAAATACACAAAAAATCTCAAACTCCTGAACATTCTGCAAACCTACTTGTCTATCCTGTTAAAAAATGTCTGTAACCTGAATGACAAAGAAAAAAATTGAGGAACCATTCCAGATTAAAGGAAACTAAAACCACATGACAAGTACATGCAACACATGATCCTGAACTAGACTCTGGATTAGAAAAAGAAATTCTATAAAGGAAATTATCTGGGCTGGGTATGGTGGCTCACACCTTTAATCTGAGCATTTTGGGATGCCAAGGCAGGCAGATCACTTGAGGTCAGGAGTTCAAGACCAGTCTGGGCAATATGGTGAAACCCGAGCCCTACTACAAATAAAAAATAAAAGAGAGAGAGAGAGAGAGAGAGAGAGAGAGAGAGAGAGAGAGAGAGAGAGAGAGAAACATTTGCCAGGTGTGGTGGTGGGCATGTATAACCTCAGGACTTTAGGAGGCCGAGCTGGTTGCATCACCTGAGGTCAGGAGTTCAACACCAGCCTGTGCAACATGACAAAACCCTGTCTCTACTGAAATTACAAAAATTGGCTGGGCGCAGTAGCACATGCCCATAATCCCAGCTGCTCGAGAGACTAAGGCAGGAGAATCACTTGAAGCCTGGAGGCGTGTGTTGCAGTGAGCTGAGATTGAGCTACTGCACTCCAGCCTGCGTGACAGAGTGAGACTCTGTCTCAGAAAAAAAAAGAAAAGTAAAATACTGTGGAAACAGACACCCTACAATTTGCATGCTTAATGGACTGCCTACCTTCTTGGGGCAGTTTCACCCACTCTGGATTTGGCAGGCACATCTCCTGGACATCAGGACCATCTCCATGCTCACACTCAGTCATTGGCTCAACCAGTTCCTGGCTATCAGTTTCAGGCTCCGGGCCTTAAAGACAAAACAAAATTATCATTTTTAGCAGGAAAACATGAAATACGAATAAAGAAATCATATTCATGCTCTTGGTGTTATTAAATAAAAGCTTTCACTAGTATAATAATAAATGTGTTGATAAGAATCTCAGGAATATTATTTCAGGAGTCTGTTAGCAGAAAACAGGAAAACAGAGTTTTTCAAATATTACCCTCTTCTTTCCTGAAGACTGCCCTCAGACAGCTTTGTTGCCTCCTTTGCACTTCTCTGTTATTGCATTTCTGATTGTCCTTACCATATTAAATGACTGAAGGCTGACATCCTGTCTCTCATTAGCATTTAGACTCCTAGCAGCTAGCAAGTTATATGGTGGGAGTAGGTGCCAATAAATGGTAAGTGAAAAAACAGTCTTTAGAAACTATACGAAAAAGCCCAAAGGGCTAAACATTCTGCAAACCAATGGGTCTATCCTCTTGAAAAATGTCAGTATTGGCCAGACACATTGGCTCACGCCTGTAATCCCAGCACTTTGGGAGATTAAGGCAGGAGAATCACTTGAGGTCAGGAGTTCGAGACCAGCCTGGCCAACCCGGTGAAACCCCATGTCTACTAAAAATACAAAGGAAAAAAAAAAAACATTAGGTAGCCACGGTAGTGGGTGCCTGTAGTCCCAACTACTCAGGAGGCTGAGGCATCAGAATCCCTTGAGCCTGGGAGGCGGAGGTTGCAGTGAGCCGAGATCTTGCCACTGCACTCCAACCTGAGCAACAGAGTAAGACTCTGTCTCAAAAAAAAAAAAAAAAAAAAATCTGGATAACTGGCAAAATCTGAGTATACACTGTGTATTAAATCACTGCAGTTTCTCATTGTTAAATTTCCTGAGTTTGATCATTGTGCAGTGATTATCCAAGGAATGACTTTTGCTTTGTTCTGAGGATATACACACACTCAAGTACTTAGGGTAAAGGGCCATACCTGAAACTTTATCTGAACAATTCAGCGTTAATAACAGTAAACATAATATCCATAAGTGTGTGTGTGAGTGTGTGGGTAGCAGGGTAAGAGAGAGAGGGAACAGATATGAAACCAATACAGCAAAAACTGTACACAACTGGTGAATCTAGGTAAAAGGTATATGAGTTAATTATACCATTCTTGCAACTTTTCTATAAATTTTATGTCTTGAAAACATACAAAGTAAAAACTTGAAAGAATATATGACCACTACACTGAATTTAGGAAGACAGGAGTTTTTTTTTAATTGTGGTAAAAAAATACACATAACATAAAATTTCCCATCTTAAATATTAAGTGTTACAGTTCAGTAAGGAGCTATGTCTGCAACGTTACCAGTAACTAGAAACAAATTTTACATAGTTGTTTTCCTATAAAACAAAACATTTATTTATTTGCTTGTTTGTTTATTTATTTATTAGCAATGAGGTCTCACTATGTTTCCCAGGCTGGTCTTGAACCCTAGGCTCAAGCGATCCTCTCACATCTACCTCCTAAGTAGCTGGGACTATCATTGCACAGCACTGAGCCCGGTTTGAAACCTTCCTCTTAAATGACAATCTAAGGATAAACCACAGGACTTGTACAATGCCTATATTCAGCCATAGAGTACTAAAAGCGGTGGGCATCAGCTAAGAAATCTGAGGTCTACAACATGGATAGGAATTCAACTACGATTACAATGCAAATTTCTGAAGGACTGATTAGCTGAATGGATTTGAAGACTATGCGAAACGTTATAGTCGTGACACCCATTACCTACTGGGGTAAATAGAAGCTTAACTTCGTTAAAATAAAGTTATATTTGGGTCCAAAGGCCCGAAATGTAATATTCCATGAATGAACCCCATGTAGAACAAAGCACCAAAAATAACATTACTTGTGAATTACAGCAAATATACTGTCTCACACTGAGAAAAAAGAAGTGGGTAGACAGCAATTAATGGGCATTGCTGTCAGTCATATTCTATAAACCTTTAACAGTGAATCCTTAGAATAATCCATGACCTGAGTTACATAAATGTATTGCTTCAAAATCTTTTATTTAGAAGGAATTACTTCTATCTCATGTTAATCTCAGGGTAATTCCTTTTTTTGTTTGTTTTTTTTTCTAACCATAAAAGGATTTAATAACCTCTTAAAAGCCACTTAAAAAATCATGCTAGGCCAGGAGTGGTGGCTCATGCCTGTAATCCCAGAACTTTGGGAGGCCGAGGAGGGCACATCATGAGGTCAGGAGATCAAGACCATCCTGGCTGACACAGTGAACCCTGGTCGCTACTAAAAAACTAAAAAATTACCCAGGCATGGTAGCACATGCTTGTAATCCCAGCTACTCAGGAGTCTGAGGCAGGAGAATCACTTGAACCTGGGAGGCGGAGGTTACAGTGAGCCGAGATCACTCCACTGCACTCTAGCCTGGGCGACAAAGAGAAACTCCATCTCAAAAAAAAAAAAAAAAAAAAAAATACTAAACCAGCTACCTGTATGGCAGTATCCTGAATTATTCAGCTTTTATCAAACTTACTACATAAAAATATCAGTCAAGGGAAACACTGACCAATGTTCAGCAACCAGGTTTTTGGAGTTGCTCCTGCTCCTCTGAACTGGCTCTAGTCTTGGGCCAGTACTAAGCTACCTTACAGTAAAGCATTTGAGTTTTAAGAACTCTCAGCAAAATCATTTACTGTTTTCACAGCAACATACGTGGTAGGAAGACACAAACTTTGAAATAAAATACAAATTTTGTATTCACCAGTCAATGTTCTTGGATAAAACACAATCCTCGAGTCTCTATTCTGCCATTCATAAAGTAGAGACATTTTATCATAGTGCAGTATTTTGCTAAGCTAAGCTGCAAACAATATACCCTCCTCAGTTCCTGCTCTGTGACAATGTATGAGACACACACACACACACACACACACACCCCAACAGTCATTCTTCCCTTTCCCTTCACCTTGAGCTGCAGATGCTCCCTCATCCATTCTCTCTGGAGCAGGTGAAGAATCCAGGTTTTGAGTTGATGGTTCCATTTTTTCAGGTTCCTCATCACTGGACTGCTTGTGATAAGGGTATATGTGTGTGTGTGTATTAAAAAAGTTTTGCTATTAATACATGTCAAAAAAATTATATATATACATACACACACACGAAGTGCATAGATGTTTCTGATCATAACTGAGCTTAAAATCATTTCTCCCACTCCATTCTACATGGTTAATAACACTAACCACAGAAAGGTTACTGTGAGAAAAGTTACCCACAAGGATTTTGGAAGCTATTATACTCTATGTTGGAATAGATGTCTACAATCTGTCATTAAAAAGCAAAGCATAAGAAGGAAGTCATGGGCAAAAGCTGGAGAACACAAGAGAAAAAAGAAATCCTCCTGAGTCAATGTTGCCTTCATGAGATGCCAGAATAATTTTTCATCAGCACGAAAGACCTTTATTAGTGTATCTAGACTAATGCAACAAAACTATCACAAAAATTAATTTCTGTTAATAGAAAACATTGAATTAAAGCACTCAACAGCATAGGCCCAATTACCTCAGAAGATTCTATATTGCATATTGGTATAGGCGGATAGATTAATCTTCTTCGAAAACCCATATTTCACACTGAAAAGAGAAAACTGTGATTGGGAACATGCACTTGAGAGGACAGATATATTCGATTACTTCGATGGCCAAAAGTTGTCATTTTCATTTTGAAAGTATGCTCAAAACACGTTCCAGAGTTAAGTGTAAGTGTGTACGTTTTCTGAGTGCTTGCAAAGCCACTTATGCTGCCCGAGCTGGCGGAGCGGTCATCTTAAGGCATGTGGCAAAAGGCACAAGACATTATTTAAAAAATTTCATTTAGACATGGGGTCTCATTCTGTTGCTCACGCTGGAGTACAGTGGTGCAATCATAGCTCACTGCGGCCTCGACCTCCTACTCGAGGGATCCTCCCACCTCAGCATCCAGGGTAGCTGTGACTACGGGCATGTGCCACTATGCCCTGCTGATAGAGTACATTTTTGATGAGGTTTAGTTTCACAAGCGGACTCCACATGAAAACACTAGTGAATCACAATTCCTGTTACTACTGCTTTTGGCACACTCCCACTTACTAGAGCCATTCACCGCCCTCAAATCAGGTTTGCTTGGACCGCACAGCCTCGCCCAGTCCTCCCCATTGTTTCTGGACCATCCATGGTTGAGGTGAGATCTTGCAAAGCTTCTTACTGGTGCAATCCCCACTCCACACCATGAGGGGGGAGGGGAGCTCACCAGTCCCTTAGCCTTTCCAGGTGCCAGGCCCCTTCTTTACCACCCACCTTGCCCCCGCCTGGGGCCCCATTCAGGACTCAGGAATGTGCCCTGTATCATGGCTTCCTGGCACCTTGGGACTTCCACCCCTCCAACAGCACCCCAGGACTTGCCCCATTTTCACCTGAGCCCCTGACCGCCTCCCCTCCATGGCATACCTTCCTCCCTGTCCTGGCCCCTTGAAGACCAAAGAGCTGATGGTGTCGTCACAATCTGTGAGGAGAAGGGGGACGACCTTGACGCCCTTCTCCTTCAAAAGCCACGGACCACCACACCGAGGGACCCATGGGACCCGCCCAAAGCCCCCTGGCTCCTCCTCACCCTCACTCTTCAGTCCCCGGGGGGACTGGCCTGTGGATCTACAAGAAGAGTTTCAGTAGAGGAAAAGGTTTCCAAACAGCAAGAAAGCCACCGAACAGCTCCGGGGTGTTCTCCACGTGACAAGGGGGCTGACGGGAAGATGCCCAGTGAACATGCGCACTGAGGCTGGTGCCCAAGGAGCATGCGCAGCTACCAGGGTGGGGTGGGGAAGTTTGCAGTTCCCAGCCACATGTCCCACACCCCCAATTTTCATCCCCAGTGAAGACAATGGAATCCGACCTCCCTCTGCTCTTTCATATGCCTCGGGTATTCAAATACCTCAAACAGTGCTCCCCTCAAAACTCACTCCATCTTCAACTGCCCCTCCCACCGTCCCCGGGCCCTCTCTTGCCCTGGCCCCACCATAGAGACAAGGACTATGGTGGCTGCCTGTGAAGCCAGGTATATCATCTGCTAAAACAGAAATAGCAACATACCCATAGCATTTACACAAGACTAAGAGTCTCATAACCAGATATTCATAATGTCCAGCATATAATTCAAAATTACTTACAATGTGAAGAACCAGGAAAACAGGGCAACTGAAATGGGAAAAGACAATCAACCGACACCACTGCTAAGAGAGATGTTGGGATTATCTGGGAAAGCCTTTAAAGATGCGGTTTTATAAATGTGTAGGTTGGGCGCAATTGCTCATGCCTGTTAATCCCAGCACTTTGGGAGGCCGAGGCGGGTGGATCACTTGAGGTCAGGAGTTCAAAACCAGCCTGACCAACATGGTGAAACCCCATCTCTACTAAAAATGCAAAAAATTAGCTGGGAGTAGTGGTGTGCACCTGTAGTCCTAGCTACTTGGGAGAATTGCTTGAACCTGGGAGGCGAAGGTTGCAGTGAACCGAGATCACATGACTGTACTCCAGCCTGGGCGTCAGAGAGAGACTCTGTCTAAAAAAATGCTTAAACAAGCAATCATGAACACTTTTGAAACAAGTAAAAAGTCCTGGCACAAAAAAAGAATATTTAAAGAAGAAACAAATGGAAGTTTTATAAGTGGAAAACATAACAAAGGAAAAAAATTCTCAGTGAATGGATTCAATAGCAGAATGGAGACAAGAAAAGAATTCGTGAAAAAATAGAAATTGTTCTATCTGGCCAAGAGCAGTGACTTACAACAGTAATCCTAGCACTTTTGCGGGCTGAAGTAAGATAGATGACTTGAGGCTAGAAGTTTGAGATCAACCTGTGTAACATAGTGAGACCTTGTCTCTACAAAAAACAATGAAATATAGCTGAGTGTGATGACACATGCCTGCAGTGCTAGCTACTGTGAAGGCTGAGGCAGGAGGATCCCTTGAGCCCAGGAGTTGAAGGCTACAGTGGACTCTAATCACACCACTGCATTCCAGCCTGAGCAGCAGAGTGAGACTCCTTTATCTAAAACAAAACAAACAGAAATTGTTCAAGAGTTTCATAACCTAATATTCAAAATGTCCAGCATATAATTCAAAAGTACTCAGAATATGAAGAACCATGAAAGTTAGGCATCTCAAACGGGGAAAGACAGTCAACTGACACCAATGCAAAGACAGAGAGGTTGGGATTATCTGGGAAAGCCTTTAAAGATGCCATTTTAAAAAAGCTATAAGCATCCATGTCCAGACACAAGTTTTCAACTCCTTTGGGTAGATACCAAGAAGTGCAATTACTGGATTGCATAGTAAGAGTATGTATAGATTTGTAAGAAATACTGCCAAGCTGCCTTTTAAATTTGTTTTACCATTTTACATACCCACCAGCAATGAATGAGAGTTCCTGTTGCTCCACATCCTCCCCAGGATTTGTTGTTGTCAGTGATCTGGATTTTGAGTATTCTAATAACTGTTTTTTTTTTTTAATTTTTTATTGGATTTTAGGTTTTGGGGTACATGAGCAGAGCATGCAAGACAGTTGCGTAGGTACACACATGGCAGTGTGCTTTGCTTTTCTTCTCCCCTTCACCCACATTTGGCATTTCTCCCCAGGCTATCCCTCCCCACCTCCCCATCCCACTGGCCCTCCCCTTTTCCCCCCAATAGACCCCAGTGTTTAGTACTCCCCTTTCTCTAATAACTGTTTTTGGCGCAGTTTTCATCAGCCCTGGCTTTCCATTGGAATTGCCTGGTAGAACTTTTTTAAAATATTGATTTTTGGCCAGGCACAGTGGCTCACACCTATTATCCCTGCACTTTGGGTGGCCAAGGCAGGCGGATCACCTGAGGTCAGGAGTTCAAGACCAGCCTGGCCAACATGGTGAAACCGCATCTCTACAAAGTTGCAAAAATTAGCCGGGCATGATGGAGGGTGCCTGGAGTCCCAGCAACTTGGGAGGCTGAGGCGAGAGAATTGCTTGAACCTGGGAGGTGGAGGTTGTAGTGAGCTGAGATTGTGCCATTGCACTCCAGCCTCAGTGACAGAGTGAGACTCCATCTCAAAAACAAAATAAAACAAAAATGATATTGATTATCAGACTCCACCCCAGGCCAATTAAGCTGGGTCTGGGGCTTAAGGCTTCTAAAAAGTATTCCTCAGGTTATATAAATGTTATATGGTGTTGAGGATGGCTGGTTTAGAACATATATTACCAATAGACCTTTGATAAAGTGTTCAGAGCAGAGAGAAAGGTAAAATATAAAGCTTTTACCATCTTAAAGTTGACTTTAAGCAAATATAAGCAAAATAGTTGTAGATGTTGAAGCAGAGACAGCTAAAGGAGCATTAGAGCTGCAATTTGTGGCCTTCTAGGGTTCCCCCAGATGATTCAAACTAACCAGAGGCCATGACAATCATCTTTTCTAAGACTATAGAGAGAATAAAAACAGAAGGAAAGGCAGAAAAAAGCCATAACTATTTTTTAACCTTTCCTAAACTCTTAGAATATTTTGTAGTCCTTACTATATCACCTGAAATAGTCTATTTTAAAAAGTGGCCTGGAAAACCTCTCAAGTCCTCTATGTGGGTCTCTATCAGCATTTGCCAGTCATAACTAATGGACTGAGATAGAAGACACTGAAGCTATGTCTGCAGAAAAACATAGAACAATGGCAAGAGACCAAAATCAGGTCCTTTCTGTACAGTTGTCCAGGTAGTGTACATTTAGGAGGGTTGCCAAAGTTAGAAGACATACCTTACTTACTACAAGTGGTGACTAGAAAATGTACCCTAAGAAAAATCAGTATTTTTAAAGTATTTTTTTAAGCTTCAGTAATTTTTCATATACTCACAAAATTGTGCAACCATTAGCACTAATTCCAGAACATTTTCATCACCCCAAAAAGAAACTCTGTAACCATTAGCAGTCAATCTCTACTCTCTCCTCCTCCTAGGCCCTGGCAACCACTAATCCATTTTCTGTCTTTATGGATTTTCCTATTCTGGATAATTCATATAAATAGAATTATACAATATGTGGCCTTTTTGTGACTTGCTTATTTCATTTTGTATAATGTTTTCAAGGTTCAACCACATTGTACCGTGTATTAGAATTTTATTATTTATTATTGATGAATAATATTCTATTATACGGATGTACCACATTTTGTTTATCAGTTCATCAGCTGATGGACATTTAGGGTCTTTCTACTTTTTTGGTCACTGTATATAATGTTGCTGTGAATATTTATGTGTGTTGACAGCAAATTCTGACATGTGTGCGAAATCATATTGTTTACTGAGAGCAGCGGCAAGGAAAACCTAGTCAGCCCCTCAAAGCAGAAAACTGCTCAAAGGGTTATAAAACAGTAACCGATATGAATATGTCTCACACCAGATGAATTAGTTCTTTGAACACAGAATATGTGACTCTTTCCTTTGTTCTCTCTAAAGAGTGCTTTCTAGTTTGTCTTTAACCTGTAGTAAACATACACTAGCTGCCTAGTTAGTTTACCTTTAACCAATGAAAGAACACAGAGCATGCACTTGTAAAACTTGTCACTGGAAAGAAAATAATAAATATGTAGGTCAGAGTCTGCTCTGGGCTCTCAGCTAGAAATGGTGGGAGACCCCTGATCCCCACTCTGAACCCACCTTTCACTTTCTATCTCTGTTTCTGTTTCTTAATTCCTTTAGCGCCGCCTGGGTTGGGGTCTCTATGGCCAAGCTGGCCTCAGCATATGTACAAGTTTTTCTATGGACATATGTTTCCATTTCTCTTGGGTATACAACTAGGAGTGGAATTGCTGGATCATACACTAATTCTATGTTTAACTTGAAGTGCCAAACTATTTTCCACAGTAGCTTCCCCATTTTACATTCCCACAAGCAATGTATGCAGGTTCTTCTTTCTCTACCTCCTCAGCAACACTTGTTACTTTCCAGCTTTTTGATTATAGCCATCCTAGTGGGTTTGAAGTAATATCTCATTGTGATTTTGATTTGCATTCACCCAATAACTGACAATGTCAAGCATCTTTTCCTGTGTTTGCTGACCATTTGTATATCTTCTTTGGAGAAATGTCTGTTCTGATCCTTTGCCAAACCATCACCTCTGCTGTCACCTTTCTAGCAGGTTAAACTACCAACAGCTGTCTTGGGAATTCAAACCACAATATCTGCAGCAGCTGGTCCAAGACAGTCAGGTCTTCATAAAAAACTGCCCTACTTTTTGCCGTAGCTTCCAACTTATGTCTGACTGGAGAAAGCCAAATTCACTCCCCAGACCAATCAATAACATGCCCAACTCCTAGTTAGCCCTCCAACCAGGGCATACCTGAAGCTCTTTCCCACTCCTCTGCCTGTTTTTGAATCTATGCTAACCACAAATTATGTTGGCTGATTTTCTTTCTGTAGCAAGTTCTGAGTAAATAGCCTATGTTTATTCTCATTTGGATGGTCTTCATTTATTTCCACAGTAAGCTTGCCAGATAAAGGATAGGAGATCCAGTAAAATTAGAATTTCAGATAAACAGCAAATAACTTTTAGTATAACTATAGTTGTGCATCACTTAACAACAGGAATATTGAAATAGTTTGGCTCTGTGCTCCTACCCAAATCTCATGTTGAATTGTAATCCTCATGTTGGAGGAGGGACCTGGTGGAAGGTGATTGAATCATGGGAGCAGATTTCTCCTTTCTGTTCTTGTAATAGTGAGTGGGTTC